CTCATTTGACAGCATGCCTTCGACTTGTTCCTGGCCAGCAAGTCTCAAGTTCTTAAACCTTTCGTCAACTTCTCTTCCTGAGGTGACATCCTGCCTACCACAGAGCCTACAGATCCTTGATTTATCCAGAAATAAACTGACTGTCTTTAACATTGAGTTACCGCTTCTCAAAGAGCTGTACATCTCTGGCAACAAGCTTGGAAATCTCCCAGATGGGCATTTATATGTCAACCTCGCAGTTCTCTCCATTCAAGACAACAACTTGGCCAAATTCAGCAGTAAAAACCTGCATGATTACCAGAGCCTGAGCGTCCTGGAAGCTGCTGGCAACCCCTACGTCTGTTCATGTGACTTTGTAGGTTTCGTGACAAATGACTTGATAAAACAAGAAGCTGTAGCTAGACATGACTTAAAGTCTTACATCTGTGACTCTCCCGATGCAGTGAGGGGGGAGAGAGTGTCAGACGTGAAGCTGTAAATGTTTGAGTGCCACACAGCTTTATCGATGTCTTTGCTCTGCTTAGGCATCCTGCTGCTGTGTGTGCTCATTGCAGGTCTGTGTTATAAGTTCAGCGTTGTGTGGTACATGAAGATGACCTGGGCATGGCTAAAAGCAAAGAGAAAGCCAAAGTTGAAGAAGGGAGTGCTCCAGTACGATGCCTTTGTGTCCTACAGTGAAATGGACTCCGGCTGGGTGGAGGCGCATCTGATCCCGGCCCTGGAGCAGTCGGAACCGCCCCTCCGCCTCTGCCTCCACAAGAGAGACTTTGTTCCCGGAGGATGGATTGTAGACAACATCATGGACGCTATAGAGAAGAGTCACAGAACGCTCTTCGTCCTCTCCCAGAACTTTGTCAGAAGCGAGTGGTGCAAGTACGAGCTTGACTACACACATTTTAGATTGTTTGATCAAAACGATGACGCAGTTGTGCTGATTCTACTGGAGCCCATTGACAAAAATAACATCCCCAAAAAGTTCATCAGGCTGCGGAAAGTGATGAACTCCAGGACGTACCTGGAGTGGCCTGATGATGAAGATCAGATCCCAGCGTTCTGGCAAAGTCTGAGAACAGCGATCGAAACACCTCAAATTGACGATACAAACAATCTATAAAAGCATTTATAGATAGAAATATTAAAATGAGTGTACATTCAAATTATGTTTTCTAAGCGTTACAATGTCAGTGATGTATGCTATGAATATAGCGTAACATAATACTTTTATCTTTTAGTACTTTATTTTAACAAAATTAATATGAAAAGTTATGATCTAATTTTCTTTTAAGTAGAATGTAATTTAGTACATTTTTTTTTAAATAATTCCATTTTCTCAGCTGACTCACTTCAATTCAATTCTTTTAATTTACAGGACAGGAGAATGTATACTTATAATGTTGCGGTTTAAAAAAATACCTGCATTTGCATTTCTGAAATCCTCTGATTTAATTTCATCCAGTTATTGTGCCAATTGTGTTTGAAATGAAATGTAAATTCTGCCTGCAAATATGCTTTTCTCTATATTTTATAACAGTAGATTTATTTTCTATATGAATGTATGCACACAAACCATGTACATGCATATACTCATGTAGGTTTACATAATAAGTAAAGTGAGATAGTCAGTAGTCTTTTACTGGTCATAATTGTTTTATACAGGTCATTCCTACTATTCAGTTTGAAGGTAGTAAAGTTTTAAAAACAAAAAGAGGCAAATTTTCAATGATTTTAT